GCCTTGCATCAGACTTTCTGCTCAGCAGGGAGCCTACTTCTCCCTTTCCCTCTGCCCCCACCCCCGCTCATGCTCACTCTCTCTGTTTAGGTCTCTCTCTCTCAAATAAATAAATAAAATCTTTTTAAAAATCTATTAATTAAGAAAATATTCCATGACCAAAAAAACAGTACACACAGCATGATTTCATTTATATAAAGAACAAAAACAGGGACACCTGGGTGGCTCAGTCGGTTAAGCGTCTGCCTTCGGCTCAGGTCATGATCCCAGGGTCCTGGGATCGAGTCCCGCATCGGGCTCCCTGCTCGGCGGGGAGCCTGCTTCTCCCTCTGCCTCTGCCTCTCTCTCTCTCTCTGCCTCTCATGAATAAATAAAATAAAATCTTTTTAAAAAAAAAAGAACAAAAACAGACACAACTCATCTACACTATTAGAAGTTGGGGTTGCGGTTACCTTTGGGGAGGGAGCACAAGGGGGGGTTCTAGGGTGTTGGTAATGTTCTGTGTCTTGATCTGAGGGCCAGTTATGTGGCTTTGTTAAATCTGTAAAAATTCAAGCTGTACACGATAGCTGCACTTTTCTGGATGGATCTTATAATTTAAAAGTTTTAAGATTTTTATTAAAAATAAAGATAGTCTGTCATGTACAAGTTCAAATGTTTTCTGTAGATACTCCATCCTCAAGGATGGGGAGCAGAACTCCCCACTCCATAGGTGTGGGCTGCTCACAGTGAATTTCTTCCAAAGAGCACAGTATGGAAAGGGGCAGAAGGAGTGACTCGCCGTACAGAAACTTGACAAACTTCAGCCAGCTGGTCGAGGCCAACATCACCCATCCTGAGTCAGGTTGACAACATGTAGCCTTGCACGATGTGACTAAGATGGCACTTTACTTCTTGGTCTTCCTACCAATAACCCATAACCGCAGCCTTATCATGAAAGAAACAAACAAATTCCAGTACTGGGCATCCTACGGAATACCCGACTGGTACTCGTGAAAACTGTCAAGGTCATCAAAAACAAAGAAAGTCTGAGCAATGTCACAGGCAAGGGGAGCTTAATGAGACATGATCTCTCAGTACTATGTGGTGTCTTCCTGATGGGATCCTGGAACAAAATTAGACATCAGGCAAAAGCTAAGGAGATCTGAATAAAGTATGACTTTAGTTCATTGAAGAATGAGAGCAAGAGAGAGGGAGAGGGAGAAAGAGACAGAGGTAGAGAGGAGGGTGAGAAAGGGAAGGAGGGAGGCAGGGAGGTGGGGAGGCAGGGAGGTGGGGGCAAGAGAGACACAGACAGACAGAAAGAGAGAAATAGTTTTCTGTAAATAAAATGTAGCCTAGCCTCAGACCTTGATCATTTTATTGTGTGAGCTGAACCCAGTAGACATACAGACAGAGAACAGTTGTCCTTTCTCTCAGCCCAGGTCTTCAAACATGCTCTGCATGCTCAGACTTCCCAACCTTGCCCCTTGACCTCAGCCCAGTTTGACCCCACAGCTTTCTCCTTTTCAGGAATTAGAGAGCCCAGTCCCATCTAAGTCAAACATGGCTTCTCATATCCAATTTAGGTAGGGAGCATTCCCAGCCTCCTGGGGACCCAACCAGACCCCGTGGGAAGGGGAGAAGTTTGCTCTGTTTCTGTACTCCCTCCCTCCACTGCCGCCCACCTTGCTGGCCTCACCATCAGAGGGCATGAAGGGGGAGGGTGCTGGAGGAGAAGCCAATCTCTTTTTATCTGGCTGGTGCTGTGTATCAGCTCTCTGGGTTAAGGATGCCCTTATGTAGCAGATGCTCCACGGCCAGCTTTTCATCAAGTGCCTTAGAGCCCTAACTGTCCTCACATCACAGAGTCCCAAAGTGGCTGATGGACCCTAGCTGACATCTTGCCCGCCTCCCCCAGCTCACCCCCACAGGGGCCCCTCTCCTCTGAAGTGAGGTCCTGTCCCTACAGGATGTCTACCTGGCTCTCAGGAGACTCATATCCTGGTACTACACCCCACTCTGGTCATGCAGGCTGCCCTCTGCTGCCCCCACCATTCAGCTGCTCCCCCCAGTCCAGGGATACTTTCCAGGCAGGTGCATAGCGTGCTGGTCCAGAGCAGTCTTCTGAAGGTTTGCGTCCCAGCTCTAACACATTGCTCTAGAGCAAATTACACCACTTCTCTGTGCTTCTATTACTCCACTGTAATATAAAAATAGTATTAATCGGAGGGGGAGATGAACCGTGAGAGACGATGGACTCTGAAAAACAAACTGAGGGTTCTGGGGGGGGGTGGGAGGATGGGTTAGCCTGGTGATGGGTATTAAAGAGGGCACGTTCTGCATGGAGCACTGCGTGTTATGCACAAACAATGAATCATGGAACACTGCATCAAAAACTAATGATGTAATGTGTGGTGATTAACATAACATAATAATAAAAAAACAAAACAAAATAGTATTAATTTCCATTCCACAAGATTACTGAGAATGTTTTTCATTCATACATGTAAAGCTCTTAGAACAACTGGGCCCATAACTATCGAGCTCTATAAAGTATGTGATAAATATACAAATGGCACAGTTCCCCTCCCCATTCTCCAACCCACATGGCCTCTTGGCTGGGAGGGGTAAGCCGTTCTCCCCTTTTGCAGCTATCCCGTTCTCAAATCTAGGGGCTCCTGGACTCTCCTCACGTGGCTCCTTGAGATGGAGAGTTCCTCCTGCCTTCCCCGGGAGAGGAGAGAGAATCACTGTGGAACTCCTTACCAAGCAACAGCCCTCTTGCTACCTGAAGGCTCCTTTACTTTTACTGAACGCCCGCATACTTTCCCCTAGGACCTCGGATAGCTGACATTTGCCATATCTACTCTCTGTCCTCTCTATATACATACACACATGGACATACACTTTTAAACAGAATCGTTTATTTTTTATTGAAATTCAATGAATTAACATATAGTGTATTATTAGTTTCAGAGGTAGAGTTCAGTGATTCATTGGTCTTTTTTTTATTTTTTAAAGATTTTATTTATTTATTTGATAGAGAGACACAGTGAAAGAGGGACCACAAGCAGGGGGAGTGGGGGAGGGAGAAGCAGCCTTCCCGCGGAGCAGGGAGCCCGATGCGGGGCTCGATGCGGGGCTCAATGCGGGGCTCGATCCCAGGACCCTGGGATCACAACCCAAGCCGAAGGCAGACGATTAACGACTGAGCCACCCAGGCACCCGAGTCATTGGTCTTATATAATACCCAGTGCTCATTACATTATATGCCCTCCTTAACGCCCACTACCCAGGTAACCCCCTTCACCACCCTCCCCCCAGCAACCCCCAGTCTTGTCTCCTATGATTAAGAGTCTCTTATGATTTGTCTCCCTCTCCGATTTCATCTTTAAACAGAATCATTTAAACGTAAGTTGCGGAAATCATGACGCCTCACCCCTACATGCTCCATTAATCTCCTAAGAAGATTTCCTACAATATCCTCCCACATAACTGCAATGCTATGTTCACACCTAAGAAAATTCACATTAGGGTCGCCTGGGTGGCTCAGTCAGTTACGCATCTGCCTTTTGGCTCAGGTCATGATCCCAGGGTCTTGGGATGGAGCCCCCCCTCCCCCAATCCCTGCTCCTCCCTCTCCCTCTGCCCCTCCCCCCAGTTGTGCACTCTTGTCTCTCAAATATATCATTTAAATCTTTTTTTAAAAAAGGAAATACACAAAAAACTAATGATGTAATGTATGGTGATTAACATAACAATAAAAAATTAATTTAAAAAAGGAAATACACATTAATTCCATAATATTTTCTAATCTCCTGTCCATGCTCATGTGCCTCCAATTGTCCCAAAGATGTCTTTTGCAGCTTTAAAACATTTTTTCTTGAAGTCTAGGTTCTAGTGAAATTTTACATTAGCATTTCATTGTTCTGTCTCTAGGCTCTTCATTCTAGAAAAGGACGTTTTATTTATTTTTTTTAAAGATTTTATCATTTACTTATTTGAGAGAGAGAACACGAGAAGGGGGAGGGTCAGAGGGAGAAGCAGACTCCCCGCTGAGCAGGGAGCCCCACACGGGATTCCATCCTGGGACTCCGGGATCATGACCTAAGCCAAAGGCAGACACCCGACCACCTGAGCCACCCAGGCACCCAGGACCTTTTATTTTTTAATGACATTGACAGTTTTGAAGAATCTAAGTCAGTTGCCATTAGGAACATCTCACAGCATGGATATTCTTCATTTGATTTTACGTTTCTTGTCATTTCTTACCAGGAGGAAGGAGGGCTAAGGGGTTGCCCTTTAGAATGCAGCAGCCTGGGCGCCTGGGTGGCTCAGTTGGTTAAGCGACTGCCTTCAGCTCAGGTCATGATCCTGGAGTCCCGGGATCGAGTCCCACATCGGGCTCCCTGCTGAGCAGGGAGTCTGCTTCTCCCTCTGACCCTCTTCCCTCTCGTGCTCTCTATCTCTCATTCTCTCTCTCTCAAATAAATAAATAAAATCTTAAAAAAAAAATAGAATGCAGCAGCCTTTTCATCCCTTTTCAGATTAAGGACTTGGGCTGAAATTCAGAGGTGGCCAGAGCATGTCCATTCCCTACCTGATTTTGCAGGTGGTCGGAGGGGTGCTACAGAGCACCCTTCCTGAGAGGAGCAGATCAGCCTGGTCCAAGGACTCAGGCAGGGTCTCTCCTCATGCGGGCAGTGGGAAAGGAGCCTGGAACAACCCAGAAGACTTTTGCTCCCAGCACCCTGCCCTGCCCTGGAAAGAAATAAGTCTATTGATCCTAGGGACCCTGAAAAGAGCTGGGCATTCCTCCCTAGGGACATAACACCTCTCCCTGAAGTGCTGCCCTGAGCCATGGGTAGTAGGCGGAGCTGAGGGATCATGGCCCAAGGCCAAGGGCTGACCTTCCAGCTTCATTTGGTAACTTTGATATCAGGTGACCAGGATGGCCTGGCTAATCTGACAGAGGGTGGTATTTATAAAAAGTCCCCTCCCCCGGAGCCAGAAGCTCTGTACCAGCCTCCACAAGCCTGCTGATTTCAAGCACCTGCCTCTACAGGTACCTTTCTGGGGCTCATTTTCCAGTCCCTGGGAACCCCCCCACCCCACCCAATATATCCTGGGAACCAGTGGAGATGGAGGAATGAAGGGACCGTGGGTTAGGTATAGGAGGCCTGAGTTCTAGTCCTTCCTGCCCAGCTCCAGACCGCAGTTTCTCCATTTTTCAATTGGCAGCTTGGACTGGGCCACCTCTAAGGACCTTAGCATGATTCAAATGGAGAAATGGGGAGGGGTCCCCACCTGGCACGAGGGCAGCCGTGGCTCTGGCTGCAGCCCAACCTCAGGCTCTAATATTGTGAGGGGATGGGGAGGAGGTGCTCTCCTTGGATGTGGTAAAGAGTGCCTTGGGGAAGGGGCCATCACCAGTCATTCGCATCAGCCCTGGGTGGGACCTTGGCCTCCTTGGTGTTGCTGGGTGGGAGCAGCTCCCTGTTCCCTGGGTAGGAGGAGGTATTGGCAGGAAGCCAGCATTGGCACGGACCCTTTGGCCTAATGCCAAGCATAACCCTGAGCTGGGGGCTGGCAAGGGTGCTTCCCTGTTTTGAAGTGTCAGTTGCCTCCACTCCAGCCTCAGAATTGGAGACTGAGGAGATGGGCAGAGGCGAGGGTCAGGGCTCAAAGTGCAGACACTCAGGTTGGGCATTTTGAGGTTTCTTTCCAGGCCTCAGATTCTCTGATGCTTTCAGGGTGAGCTCCTGGGACACAGGACCCATGGTGGATGTATCTTAGTCTTTCTGGTGTCCGGCTGGGAGCCAAGCACCTAACATATGCCAGTGTCTACTGACTGAGTGAGTGAATGAAGGAAGGAAGGAATGCCTCCATCTTGACACTCAGCCTGGCTCCTCCTTTTTCCCTAGTAGTTGGTACAGATGGCATTGTCCCAGATGACCACAGAGCTTCTCCTGGCCTCTGCCATCTTCTGCCTGGTGCTCTGGGTGTTCAAGGCCTGGCAGCCTCGGGTTCCCAAAGGCCTGAAGAGTCCCCCGGGGCCCTGGGGCTGGCCCCTGCTGGGGAACATGCTGACCTTGAGAAAGAACCCACATCTGGCGCTGTCCAGGCTGAGCCAGCGTTATGGGGACGTGCTGCAAATCCACATTGGCTCCACACCCGTGCTGGTGCTCAGCGGCCTGGACACCATCCGGCAAGCCCTGGTGCAACAGGGTGAGGATTTCAAGGGCCGGCCTGACCTCTACAGCTTCACTCTGATTACTGATGGCCAAAGCATGTCCTTCAGCCCAGACTCTGGACCAGTGTGGGCTGCCCGCAGGCGCCTGGCCCAGAACGCCCTGAACAGTTTCTCCATTGCCTCAGACCCGGGTTCCTCATCCTCCTGCTACCTGGAAGAGCATGTGAGCAAGGAGGCTGAGGCCCTCCTCAGCAGGTTGCTGGAACAGATGGCAGAGGTTGGGCACTTTGACCCCTACAACCAAGTGCTGCTCTCAGTGGCCAATGTCATTGGTGCCATGTGCTTTGGGCAGCACTTCCCTCAGCGCAATGAGGAAATGCTCAGCCTTATAAAGAGCAGCAAAGATTTTGTGGAGACTGCCTCCTCCGGGAACCCTGTGGACTTCTTCCCCATCCTGCAATGTATGCCCAACCCCACCTTGCAGAGATTCAAGGCCTTTAACCAGAAGTTACTGCAGTTCCTGCAGAAAATTGTGCAGGAGCACTACCAGGACTTTGACGAGGTGAGCCCAAGGTGTTGGTGGTGAGGCGACACCCTGCAGGGCCTGGGTGTAGCCCCTCTCACCCAGCCTCCAGGTACACACACTGCTGATGTGCTGCCAAGGCCTAGGAAAGCTCTGGAATGCCTTGGATCGGCTGTGTGGACCTGGGACCAATCCCTCTCCCTCTCGGGCTTCAGTTTTCTCAACCAATTACCTCCCTCTCAGGGTTGCTCAAAGCCTCAGAGATATTTGCTTGTGAATGGGGCCCTGGCAGAGTGCCGCAATGGTGGGGGGGGGGGGCTGTTATCATGAGAAGGCTTTTGTTCTGCAGGAACCTGAACCCTGACAGAAGCTAATCCTCAGCTCAGGTGGCACTTGGCTTCCCAGTACTTCCCCCAACCTCTTCCCTTGAAATTGGACCCCTTGGGTTATTGGGAGGAAGGGCACCCAGGGCTGCTACCAGCTCCCCCTGGAAGCCCAGCTTACTGCCTGGAGGCCGAGTGGAAGTGCTCTGTGGGGTAGGGCAAGGTCTGACCTGGAAGTGCCAGGATGCCCCAAGCTTGTGTCCCCACAGAGCAGCATCCAGGACATCACAGGCGCCCTCTTAAAGCACAATGAGAAGGGCTCCAGAGCTGGTGGTGGCCACATCCCCCATGAGAAGATCGTCAACCTTATCTATGACATTTTTGGGGCAGGTAGGAACCAGACCCATGCCCCTTCCATCCATCAGTGCCTGCTGTTCACCCACAGACTTGCCCGGCCCCTGAGTCCATCCCATCATTTGCTAACCACATACCAGATGGTGTGGAACACAGACACCTGGCCCATGTTCAGGGTCTGAGTCCAGGCTGGGCCAACAATTCCCAGTGGGAATTCAACTAAGCCCATCTCAGCCTCTGGGCCTCAGTTTCCCCACCTGAACAATAAGGGGTTCTCTAGCCTGTAAGTCTAGATCCCTCTAATTCCAGCAACTAATTATGAAACTAGTGACTCAAATTTGTGTTGAGGAGACCTGGTCTCTGCCTTCAGGAAACTTATGGAGGGTAGAGGATGTAGGGGGAAGGAGGCAGAGAAAACAATGCTTGGTACGTAAGTGCTGGGTGCTTAGTAAATGCTGTTTTTTTATTCTTGTCTTCCTCCCTTCCTCACCTTGCACCATGCTGCCCAGGATTTGACACCATCACAACGGCCATCTCCTGGAGCCTCATATACCTTGTGACAAACCCCGAGATACAGAGAAAGATCCAGGAGGAGTTGGGTATGTGGTAGAGATGTGTGAGCTGAGAGAAGACTTGGGATCCCCAGGTCATTTCTTCAATGTACATATAGCTGTTTTGTACCTACTATGTACCAGCCCTGGGCGTACAATGGTGCCCACTCTTGCCTAGAACATGCTGGGGGTAGGGTGGTTAATGGACCTCAGATATAGAAGGCATAGTTCCACGTAATAGAGGACTTAGATGCCACGGAGCAGTCAAGGCAGCCCTAAGCCTTGTTTGGTCTTCTGTTCTCTGTAGACACAGTGACTGGCAGGGCCCGGCAGCCCCGGCTCTCCGACAGACCCCAGCTGCCCTATATGGAGGCCTTCATCCTGGAGATCTTCCGACACACCTCCTTCGTCCCCTTCACCATCCCGCACAGGTAAAGCCAGCTTATCCTGACCTGCCACCTTTGTAGTCCTCACCATGTTTCTTCCTCCCATCTTCTCAGCCCTGGCCCTGGCTCAGACCTTGACCTCTCATTTCTGGCTGTGTCACCAAGTTCCTCACAGACCCTCAACCTCTAGGCTGCCCCTAACCAGTCCAACCATGATCAAACTACCCAGCTTTCAGGAGAAAGTCACACTCCTGACCTCAGCTCTCCTTCACCTCTGCTCACATTCCTTCCCTACAAGTATTCTCAACCCAGCCAGGCTGGCCTCACTGCACCTGGCCAGCACGATGCAGTCAACCTCCAATTTTGCTTATGCTGGACCTTGGGCTTGGAATGCCTTCTAACCTCTTCTTCCTCTACCAGAATCCTAGCCCTGTCCGAGGTCAATCACAAACTTGCCCTTCACTAGCAGGCTTTCTTGACTTATCCAGCTAACACAGCTTCATTCTCTGATCAGTCATTTGTCCTTGATTATGTCCTGGGATTTTAACAATGTCAAGAGAGTTAGTGAACATTTACTTCTACCCGTATGTTGGTCTAGTTATTCCCAGAGCAAAAGGCCTGACTCCTCAGCCAGGCTGGGAACTCCTCAGGGCTAGCCCAGACTGCCTGTCTCTTGGCTCCAGAGGATGGCCAAGTACACAGCTGGACACAAACAAAAGTTTAGTAAACACTGGCTGAAGTTGAAGGAGCTGAGGAAGGGGAAGGATAGTTTCATCCCTTCCCTGCTCCTGATAGTCCCTCCCAATGTAGGATATGGAGACTATGGAGACTGTGGAGGGCAAGCTATTCGGGGGGTGGGGGGGAAGTAGGAGCAAGTAGCTCCTAGAGACACGCCCCAGTGTTCCTGCCCTGAGCCTGACAGAGCCCTCTTCCCTCCTCAGCACGACAAGGGACACGACACTGAAAGGCTTCTACATCCCCAAGGAACGCTGTGTCTTCATAAACCAGTGGCACGTCAATCATGACCAGTGAGTATACCTCCCCCACAGAAAAATACATGAGATTCAGCAGACAGGAAGGCTGTTTGTCCCCCTAGGAACTGGGTATAAATAGAGGAATGGGGCCTCAATTGCTATATATACTCTGTTCTATGTAGCAAAATTTAGGTCCGTGTTTCTCAAACATTAGTGTACATAGGAAATGACCAGAAGGTTGGTTAGATTAGGGGGCCTCATCCCCCAGAACTCTATTTTGGTAGGTAAAGTGGAGTACCTCAGGTGATTGTGATGTCAATGGCCCAGCGACCTCTCTTTGGAAAATCCCACTCTAGCTTAGAGGTAGGGGGACCGTATAATTTACCACCCAAACTGAGGCACTTCTGAGTGTGAAAAGGGATGCTGTCAACAAATACTCCAAAACCATACAGCATAAACCAGGATATACTGCTGATTCCCCTTGTATATTGAGTAGGATAGAGATGTTTTCCTTCTTTTAATTTCTTTTAGTTGAAGCATTATTTCTTTAAAATAACAAATTGATATGACAAAGCACCATTTGCAAGGCCAATCATTTTAGAAAGAGCTTTGTAAAAGAAATAAGCATGAAAGTACAGTTTGGTTCCTCTCTCCACTCTCTTCTCATTACTCTCAATCTATTCTAACACTGGTGCCATCCACAGAAGTCTCCCCAAGGCTTTTCCTCCCAGGGTCTCTCCTGTGACAGGAGAGAAATCCCATCTCCTCTGTTCCTCCTGCAGAAAGGTGTGGGGTGATCCATTTGAGTTCCGACCAGAGCGATTCTTCACTGCTGATGGCACCTCAATCAACAAGACCTTGAGCGAGAAGGTGATGATCTTTGGCATGGGCAAGCGCCGGTGCATAGGGGAGGTCCTGGCCAAGTGGGAGATCTTCCTCTTCCTAGCCATCTTGCTGCAGCAGCTGGAGTTCAGTGTGCCAGCAGGTGTGACAGTAGACCTAACCCCCATCTATGGGCTGACCATGAAGCACACCCACTGTGAGCATGTCCAGGCACGGCCACGCTTCTTCACCGAGTGAAGGCATCGACATGCCAAAGCAGAGGGAGGGGTAAGGATCACCCATGGGGCCTCAGCCCTTGTTTTTATCCTTTTCTTAAATAAAAGCTTTATGGAGGCATAATATACATAGCATACAATTCACCTTCTTAAAGCATACAATCCAATAGCTTTTAGTATATTCACAGATCTTTGGGCACTCTTGGACCCAGTTTCAACATGGGGGGTGTCCACACACACAACACCAAGCAATTCTCAGACACCAACAGGGTGTCCAAGAATTCAACTCAATTCTGACACTACCTACCCAGAGATAGCATGACACTGCACAGGTAAAGGGCTCGGTCCTACAAGACTTCCCCTCACCCCTGACTTCAGTTGCCAGTCACAAGCCCCAGGCTGTTACCTGTGCTTCTGATCAACCAACTTCAGATTGGAGGTTCCAACCACCTCCTCCTTAGGTTCTTTAATTTGCTAAAGTGGCTCACAGAACTCAAGGAAACATTTAGGTTTACCAGTTTATTAAAGGATATGACAAAAGATATGAATCAATAGCCAGATGAAGAGATACACAGGGCGAGGTCTGGGGAAGGGGGACGGAACTTCCGTGCCCTCTCCAAGCACCTCACTCTCCCCACTCTGTGTGTTCACCAACCTGAAGCTCTGGATCCCAGTCCTTTTGGGATTTTATGGAGGCTTCATTGCATACTCAGGACTGACGAAGGCTTTGGCCACTGACTGATTGATCCTCCAGCCCCTTTCCTCTCCCTGGAGGTCAGGGAGTGGGACTGATCCCACTCTAACACATGGTTGGATCTCCGGCCAACCAGCTCCTGCCCTTGAGTGCAGTCCAAATGTTACCTTCATTAACATAACAAAAGACACCTTCATCATTATCAACACTTAGGAAATTCCAAGAGTTTGGGAGCTATGAGCCAGGATCTGTGGACAAAGACCTAATACATGAATCCCAAGCAGACTCCCCATTGAGCATGGAGTCCAAGGCGGGGCTCAATCTCACAACCCCAAGATCACAACCAGAGGAGAAATCAAGATCGGACGCTCAACCGACTGAGCCACCCAGGTGCCCCGCTAGTAGTATATCTTGATCCAAATCTACAATGATTGGGCACCTGGGTGGCTTAGTCGGTTGAGTGTCTGCCTTCAGCTCAGGTCATGATCCCAGTGTCCTGGGATAGAGTCCCGCATCGGGCTCCTTGCTCGGCGGGGAGTCTGCTTCTGCCTCTGCCTGCCTCTCCCCGTGCTTGTGCACGTGTGTGGTATGCATGCTCTCTCTCTGACAAAGAAATAAATAAAATGTTTAAAAATATATATTATGTTCAAAATAAAAAAACAAAAGCAAAAATAAACACACCACTACAGAAAATCATCAAATCACAAAGGAAGAGAGCAAGAAAAGAAGAAAGGAGCAGAAGAAATACAAAAGAGCCACAAAACAATTAACAAAATGGCAATCAGTACATATCAATAATTATTTTAAATGTAAATGGACTAAATTCTCCTATCAAAAGACAGAGAGTGGATGAATAGATAAAAGAAACAATACCTATCTATATGCTGCCTCCAAGAGACTCATTTCAGATATAAGGCCACACACAGACTGAAAGTGAAGGGATAATAAAAAATTCATGCAAATGGAAACCAAAAGAAAGTTGGGGTGGCTATACACATACCAGACAAAAAAGAGGTTTTTTGTTTTTTTTTTAAAGATTTTATTTATTTATTTGACAGAGAGAGACACAGTGGGAGAAGGAACACAAGCAGGGAGAGTGGGAGAGGGAGAAGCAGGCTTCCCGCCGAGCAGGGAGCCCGATGTGGGGCTCGATCCCAGGACCCTGGGATCATGACCTGAGCCGAAGGCAGACGCTTAACGACTGAGCCACCCAGGCGCCCCCAGACAAAAAAGAGTTTAAAATAAAGACCATAATAAGAGACAAAGAAGGTCATTACATAAGATAAATGGGTCAATCCAACAAAAGGATATAACATTTGTAAATATGCACCCAACATAGGGGCACCTAAATATATAGAGTAAATACTAACAGACCTAAAGAGATGGGGCGCCTGGGTGGCTCAGTCGTTAAGCGTCTGCCTTCGGCTCAGGTCATGATCCCAGGGTGCTGGAATCAAGCCCCGCATCGGGCTCCCTGCTTAGTGGGGAGTCTGCTTCTCCCTCTCTCTCTGCCTGCCCCCCTGCTCCTGTTTTCTCACTCTTGCTGTCTCTTTCAAATGAATAAATAAAATCTTTAAAATTTTTTTTAAAATAAAAAATTTAAAAATAAAAAGATTTTATTTATTTATTTATTTATTTGAGAAAGAAAGAACATGAGCCAAGGGAGGGACAGAGGGAGAGAGAGAGGGATGAGCAGACTCTCCACTGAGCATGGAGCCCAACTAGGGGCTCAATTTCAGGAACCCAGAATCATGACCTGAGCTGAAGTCAGACACTTAAACACCCAGGTGCCCCAGAACACTCTTTATGATAGATCACATGTTAAGCCACAAAACAAGTCTTTTTTTATTTTATTTTATTTATTTATTTGACAGAGAGAGACACAGCGAGAGAGAGAACACAAGCAGGGGGAGTGGGAGAGGGAGAAGCAGGTTGCCCATGGAGCAGGGAGCCCCATGAGGGGCTTGATCCCAGGACCCTGGGATCATGACCTGACCTAACAACTGAGCCACCCAGGCGCCCATCACAAAACAAGTCTTAATAAATTTGAAAAGATTGAAATCATATCAAGCATGTTTTCACAATGGTATGAAACTAGAAATCAATTACATGAAGAAAACTGGAAATTCACAAATACATGGAGGTTAGACATCATGCTCCTGAACAACCAAAGGGTCAAAGAAGAAATCAAAAGAGAAATAAAAAAAATTCTTTAGGGGTGCCTGGTGGCACAGCTGGTTAAGCATCCAACTCTTGATTTCAGCTCAGATCATAATCTCAGGGTTCTGAGATCCTGCCTTGGGTGGGGCTCCATGCTCAGCACAGAATCTGCTTGGGTTTCTCTCTCCCTCTTCCTCTGCCCCTCCCCCACCATGCGTGCCCTTGTGCTCGCTCTCTCTCTCTCTTTCTCAAATAAATAAATAAATCTTAAAAAAAAATACCTTGAGACAAATAAAAATGGAAACACAACACACCAAAACTTATGGGATGCAGCAAAAACAGTTCTAAGAGGGAAGTTCATAGCAATAAATGCCTACCTCATGAAAGAAGAAAATCTCAAATAAACAACTTAAGGGGCGCCTGGGTGGCTCAGTCATTAAGTGTCTGCCTTCGGCTCAGGTCATGATCCCAGGGTCCTGGGATCGAGCCCCACATCGGGCTCCATGCTCGGTGGGGAGACTGCTTCTCCCTCTCCCACTCCCCCTGCTTGTGTTCCTGTCCTCGCTGTCTCTCTCTCTGTCGAATAAATAAATAAAATCTTTAAAAATAAATAAATAAATTAATTAATTAATTAATTAAACAACTTAACTTTAGACCACAAGAAACTAGAAAAATAAGAACAAATGAAGCCCAAAGTTAGTAGAGGAAGGAAATAATAAAGTTCAGAGTGGAAATAAATGAAATAGAGACTAAAAAGACAATGGAAAAGATCAATGAAAAGATACACAAAACTGACAAACTTTTAGCTGGACTCACCAAGAAAAAAAGAGATTCAAATCAATAAAATCAGAAATGAAAGAGGAGACTTACAACTGATAAAACAGAAATACAGGGCGCCTGGGTGGCTCAGTTGGTTGAGCGACTGCCTTCGGCTCAGGTCATGGTCCTGGAGTCCCAGGATCGAGTCCCGCATCGGGCTCCCTGCTCGGCGGGGAGTCTGCTTCTCCCTCTGACCCTTCCCCTTCTCATGTGCTCTCTCCCTCTCTCAAATAAATAAATAAATAAATAAATAAAATCTTTTTTTAAAATAATTTTTTATTGTTATGTTAATCACCATACATTACATCATTAGTTTTTGATATAGTGTTCCATGATTCATTGTTTGTAAATAAATAAAATCTTAAAAAAAAAAAACAGAAATACAAAGGGTCATAAGAGACAACTATGAACAGTTATATGCCAACAAATCAGACAACCTGGAAGAAATGGGTAAGTTCCTAGAAACATGTAACCTACTATGACTGAATCATGAAGAAATAGAAAATCTGAACAGGCTGATTACTAATAAGGAGATTGAATCAGTAATCAAAAACTTCCCCACAAACAGAAGTCCAGGACCAGATGGCTTCACTGGTGAATTTTATCAAATATTCAAAGAAGAATTTCTACCAATCCTTCTCAAATTCTTCCAAAAAATAGAAGAAGAAGGATTTTTACAAGGACAGCATTATCCTGATACCAAAACCAGACAAGCACACCAGAAGAAAAGAAAATTACAGGTGAATATCTCTACGGAACATAGATGCAAAAGCCCTCAATAAAGCATTAGTATACCAAATTCAATTAAAAGGATTGTACGCCACAATGAAGTGGAATTTATTCCAAGGATGCAAGGATGATGGTTCAACAACTGCAAATCAATGTGATATACCACATTAACAAAATGAAGGAAAAAAGTCATAAAATCATCTCAATAGATGCAGAAAAAGCATTTGAGAAATTCAATATCCATTTATGATAAAAACTCTCAACAAAGTGAGTGTAGAGGGAACATACCTCAACATGATAAAAGCCGTGTATGACAAGCCCACAGCTAAAATCATACTCAATGGTGGAAAGCCAAAAGCTTTTCCTCTAAGATCAGGAAGAAGACAAGGATACTCACTCTTGCCACTTTTATTCAACATCATATTGGAAGTCTTAGCCAGAATGATTAGGCAAGAAAAAGAAATAAAAGGGCATAGTAAAACTATCACTATCTGCAAATGATATATTAAATACATAAAACCCTAAAGACTCTGGGGCGCCTGGGTGGCTCAGTCATTAAGCGTCTGCCTTCGGCTCAGGTCATGCTCCCAGGGTCCTGGGATCGAGCCCTGCATCGGGCTCTCTGCTCCACAGGAAGCCTGCTTCTCCCTCTCCCACTCCCCCTGCTTGTGTTCCCTCTTTCACTGTGTCTCTCTCTGTCAAATAAACAAATAAAAATCTTTAAG